AAGCAGCCCCGGAGAAGACCCGGGCTGTTACAGACTGGCCAGTACCGGGCACTGGAAAGGAGGTACAGCGCTTCTTAGGGTTTGCCAACTTTTATCACAGGTTTATTAGAAACTATAGTTCGATCGCAGCACCGCTCACCAAACTGACATCCACCAACCTCACGTTTCAGTGGACTACAGAAGCAGCCCAGGCTTTCCAAACCCTCAAGGACAAGTTTACATCAGCGCCCATTCTCATACAGCCAGACCCTTCCCATCAGTTCATCATAGAGGTGGGTCGTACGTTCGTCCCTGACTCTGTACATGCAGAGGTGTTGGACTGGGCACATGCCTCTAGATTTACCTGTCACTCGGGTATCACGCGCATGCAGGCTTTTCTAAAACGGCGTTTCTGGTGGCCCACTATGGACCAAGATGTCCGCCAATACTGTATGTCCAGGCCTGCCCTGTTTGTGCACGCTCAAAGACCTCACATCAACCCCCCTCCGGCCTGTTGCGTCCCCTTCCTACACCCAGTAGGCCCTGGTCACAAATAGCTATTGACTTTGTTACAGGCCTGCCTCTGTCCCACGGCCAAACCGCCATATTGACGACCATCAACCGCTTTTCCAAAGCGGCCCATTTTGTTGCCCTGCCAAAACTGCCCACGGCCCAAGAAACAGCCGATCTGTTAGTGACTCAAGTGTTTCGTCTCCATGGCATCCCTGTAGACATTGTCTCTGACAAGGGCCCCCAGTTTACATCACAGGTATGGAAGGCATTTTGCAGGGCTTTGGGAGCGACGGCCAGCCTGTCCTTGGGATTCCATCCACAAACCAACAGACAGGTGGAGCGGCTCAACCAAGAACTAGAGGAGGCCCTCCGGTGTGTCACCTCAGCCACACCTGCCTCCTGGGCCCGCCACCTGGCTTGGGTGGAATATGCACACAACACCCTAGTGAGCTCTGCTACGGGGATGTCCCCCTTCGAAGTGTCACTTGGCTATCAGCCCCCTCTTTTTTACCGTCTGACCACGACGACGTGGCTGTCCCCTCAGTGCAAACACATTTGCATCGTTGTCGCCGCATCTGGCGACTAACTCGTATGGCACCTAAAAATGCCTTAATCCACGGTGCACCTCCTTTCTCAATGTCAGGCAGCTGAGATTTAACCATGCACATATCTTGTAGGCTGAAGGGGGTATAAGTCTGTGTTATCCCTTCCTGAGGTGAGATGGACTGTAGCAATGGCAGCTGGTGCGAAGGAATGTCAAAACAATCATGGATATTTCCCTGTTGCAATACGCCTGCGGTTGCCTCAGTCTATGCGCATCCATCCCACCTTTCACTCGTCTCAACTCAAACCCGTATCCTCCAGCCCTCTCCACTCCTCTGCTGCTCCTCGGCCCTGTTTACTTGGTCCGCCGGCTCCTGGACGTCCGCCGCCGCGGCCGTGGCTTGAAGTACTTGGTGGATTGGGAGGGCTACGGCCTGGAGGGACCTGGGTTCCCCGGTTGTACATCCTGGACCCTTCCTTGGTGCGGGGGTTTCATGCGGTGCACCCTGACAAGCCCAGTGGGTCGCCTGGTGTCTCCCGTCGGGGGGGGGTTACGTCCGGGACCCG